TCCTAACACCCATGAAGATGCCAGTTTGAACGAGTTCCTTTGTATAAATCGACTTTCATTTTGATGCTGACGCCATCTTGAATAAACTGCAGTGGTTGGCCGTTTTAAGACTCAGTACTTATAAAGTATAGCAATTTAAGTTCCTGTAGTAGGCTACTGCTAAAGCTGGTAATTTCAGGTTATAAAAGTCAGTTTAGATTTAGAACATTAGACTCAGTTCAGTAAAATATTTTAGGCGATACATTTTTAGCATAGGGAAGCATGAGTTTATTATTATTATCTCTGTCCAACTGTAGTAATACACTGGATTAATGTATTGTTTGTGTATTCTTCTCCTCGCCACAACGGGGGAGCTCCATGGGACCTTATTTCTGAAAAGATGTGTATTGAAGTCAATGGAGAGAGAAAACTTATCTCTCGATCCCGTTTGAATTGTGCCACGAATTACACATATGTTTGTCAATCTTAAAAAATAATTTCCATGTAAAAAAAGTCGCAGTTTGTTGAAATATAAGACTATGAAAAATACACAACTAGAAAGATTACAAATCCCAGAATCCCGGTCCCGCAAGCTCTTACGGAACTAACTAACTCCCCTTTTGTGTGCAGCTCTCAACATGCCCAGACTTGTAGTGATTTTCACCTCTTTTAATACCTTTCGCCTCATTCTGAAAGAAAGAAGTGAAATATGCTAACGCGACGGCCATCTTGGTGTGTGGTGCGAGACGGGAAATGTAGTTCATTGAGCGGTTTCACACAAAAAAAGGTGTTACTTCACAGTTTTACGACACATTTAAAAAAAATTGACTTGCAATTATCTTTTAAATTGACAAACATCATATGTGTAATTTATGGCAAAATTCAAACGGGATCGAAAGATAATCTTTCTCTCGCCATTGACTTCAATACTTTTTCCGAAATAAGGTCCAGGTCCCCCGGAAGGGGAGGGACTTTGGCTCTACCACTCACTACTACAGGTTGGTGTTCGATAAACTAAAATACAATGATGCACCTTTTTTTGTCTGTGATCCGTTTGTTTCTTGGGAAGGTGAATGTTTTTGTTTTGTAGTATGAGGATGTCTTATCCTTTTGTACATGTACCTTGAGATGATAAATGATGTAAAAGTGTTGTCTTTTAAATTAAAAACAAGATTTTAATTTGATGCATAGAAACATTATTTTCTTTACATGTGGGGCCAAGGACTGCATATTTTCATTTCCAACAACAATCTATTTTTGCCAATAAAACCTTTGAATCTTGAAGAAACCCGCTTATTATGTATGTAATTCCCTCTTTTGAACACCAGAGGGCAGCAGGACACATTACTGCTACCTGGGCAGTTCATGCAATACTTTAACCTGAGTGGGAGAAGTCAGGTATATCATCAAGAGTTATTTACACTCTTGTTGTAGGACGTGTTTTCCACACACATCTGACTTTGACACTAACAACAGGAAGAGGAAGTGAGCACTCAGGAAAAATGATGCCGGCTGTGATGACTGGAAGATTAACGTGAGTTTCATCATTTTTTAGGGGCCGGATGTCTTGCCTCTGTGTTGCATCAGAACTATGTTGCATCATATTGAGATATCATACTGGTCAGAACAAATCATGCATGTTACTGTTAAATGCACACATATCATGATCATTGATAGTAACAAGTTTCGCAGATTTTTTATCATATTCCTCTTCAGTGACAGTATGTTTATGTATAATAGATGTGTATGATAAAAGATGTTAGGCAATTTCCATCATCACATTTTTACTACTGTTAAACCCCAAGCCTGTTTTTCAGGTTTCAGGCTCGAAAATGACATTCCCAGAACAAATGACCATATCTTCCCTTCTAAAAGGGTTAAATTAATAATCTTTTTTTCTCAAAGTAATGGTAAACCTGTGAGTTGGATGTAGAAAAGTCAGATTCAATATAGGTGTTTTTAATTCTAAAGAAAATTCAGATTGAACATGGTAAAAAACTGTCAATTATAGTGTCCGTCCAAAGATATTTTGTACTTATAGTGAAAACTAACCTTGGATGATGTGTTAGTAGACTAAAAGCTTTAGGAATCCAAAGTAAAACATATAATAAGTACCCTGTATCAAGATTGATGCAAAACAAGTGATATTTGACCTTTTTACACAGATTTAGCAAAAAAAACCTCTTCTGGGGCCATTTGGGTGGATTTTTCATATCTCTGGCCCCCTTGCTGGATTTTGACATGTGACATCTCTTTCTAACCATCAGAGCCAATGGAATCGAGGGGAACTCCCACATAGTCCTTATTTGGTCAAGTGTGTGTGTTAGACTGCCGCATAGCCAAGACCGGAAGCAGCAGCCACTCTGGTGGCTACCATTAGCAGCTAACTTTTGCTCTGCGATCTTTACATAAAAATGGAATTATGGATTATAAATAAGACAAATTATTGCCCAGAAACTTTATCAACCTATCTTACTAGACGACGATGCCAAAACGAGTGATAATTGACGTCCCAGAATTTTTGGACAATTTGGGGTTCAGCAAAAAAAAACGTGCTCTACAAGATCCCAACTAGTAATTAATTAGAATATCTTGCCATGTTAACCCACAGTAGTCGCAATTGTTACCTGTACCTAAATGAGGTACACCGACTACTATCTCGGTTCCCCCTCGTATATCTCACACTTTTCCCACCCCTGGCTCTTGACTAGGAACTCCCTGTGGTGTCCCACTGACACCCATGGGCTGAGACGGGTGGGTTCCTCTGCATGAGACAAGAAGGGCCACTCCATACTACACTTGGTCAAGTTCCCCTCTCAGTCTCTCAAGGGCCTACCCCTCACCGCTGCTACCTCCTCCTACGGCACTAGTGCCGACAGCTTTCGACGTCACTCTAGTTCTCTCTCCTCTCTCCCTCTCGGTCGTAGTCGGCGCAGGTGAGCGCGGCGAGCAACCACTGGGGACTGGGGTCCGTCAAAGACGACGACACCGGACTCGCCTTTTGGTCTCGCTTGAAGAGTTTCATCCACCACACACCTCAACACTCACCCGGCGACCTACCTGTGCGGTGTACAACGGGTGCGTGGAAAACCTGCCCAATTCTTCCATTACACTAATGGCTAATTGCCTTCTCATCTCGAGTCCATCCCTCATTCTGTTTGCGCTAACCATTGGTTTTTGTTTGTGTTGAGCGCTCATTTCCTTCGTCCGACTTTTTACTGCGGATCGCTTTTTACCGTGCTGTACCTGCTGCGCTCTTACGTCTCCATCTTCTCTCGGGCGCCATCTCCAATGACAATAGCATCGACTCGCTCCATGTTCCTATCGCCTCACACCTCCCAAGCGCGCCTACATCATGCGCGCCCCCACATACTACTCCAAAGGTCGTGACCCTAACTAGGCTTAAACGCTGCTCCCCTCTTCGCTTTGCGCTCCTGTAGCGCTGCTTTGGCATGAGACATCTCGAAGACTCCTCTACGGAGACAGTGGCATCGAAGCTTAGACTAGTTTTCTGCACAAGCGTTACGTAATTTTTTGCGCTCTTTCTTTGCGCCGACTACGCC